CAAAAAGAGTTGGCAAGTGTGTCCAAACTGCCAAAGAAAGTGGTTCCCTGTAGCACCTGTCTCAAGGAGCTGACAAAACTCAGCACTTAGATGTCTGGTAATTACTGAGAAAAAAAAAATTGCTCTGGCTGTTCCAGATGGAACACACAGCAGAGGGAGCAAGGGATTATAAACTCCTAAAAAAAAAAAAAAATAAACTTGCAACATGTCTCTAGTTAGAAATTTAAGCTCACAAGTCAAGAAACGAACCCACAAATAAAGTTTGAGGACCCCAAATCTCTAACAAAATTTACTGGTAAAAATCTTCCCTTCCGTGAAGTCAATAATTTGTCAGGAGAAGGAAATAAGGCTATTCACTCAAAGGAATAAAGTATCAATGTATGCAAAGGAAACATTGCCCAATGGAACAAATTACCCAGAAACTGAGAAGCGTGAATCATCAAAATATATTAAAAGTAACTGTCATAAAGATGTTCAAAAAACTAAAAAAAGGTGCATAAATCTTATGAGACTATTCAATAATGAAATAAAAACTATTTAATAAAACCAAACAGAAATTATGGAACAGAAAAATTAAATAACTGAATTGAAAATTTCACTGAATGGGTTCAATATTAGACTTAATTAAGCAGAATAAAGAACTACAAACTCAAAGACAAGTTAAATTTTAACTTAGGAAAATAGAAAAGATCAGAAAGATTAGTTAAAAATTAAATGGCCTAAAACATTTCAAATCAGGAAAAAGAAATAGACAAGCATATTTAACAAGTCCAAAAAAGCAACAATTTCTTTTTTAGTTTGTTTTTGGGCCTTACCTGGTGGTGCTAAGGGGTTATTCCCAGCTTTATACTTGTGGTTGCTCCTGGAGGTTTTCAGGGGATCTTGCAACTGCTAGAAATTAAACCCAGGCCTTCAGCATGCAAAGCATGAGCTCAGTCCTTTAAGCTATCTCCCTAATTCTCCAATAGTTTCTTATAGAATATAATAGGATGAAAAGGGAAATTCACAGTGGTAACCGCCTATACCTAAGAAGATCAAGTAATCTCCCTTTCTCAAGGAACTAGAAAAAAGCAAACTATGCCCAAGTAAACAGAAATACAATAATTATTGCATATGAAACAAGTGAAATGAAACTGGAAAAATATATCAATAGAGAGGTGATTAAAAAAACAACAACAGATTAATAAACCTTAGCTATACCAAGGAAAGTCTCAACTCAGAACGTAATAAGGAGACATTATGACCAATGTCACAGAAATACAAAGAATCCTAACAGACTACTATAAACAATTATATACACTGACAAACTGGATAACCTAGAAGACATGGTAAATTTCTATAAGCATATATTGGAACTAAATCATGAAGAAGCAAAATCTAAAGTTATTTATACAAAGACTAAATTAAAACTTTCCAGTAAAGAAAAGTCCAGGGCTAAATAATTTTCCACCAGAAAAACTGTACCATCTTAATGAGTTAACACCAATTCTTGTCAAATTCTTCAAAAAGGAAGAAAACAAAACACAAATTAATTTTATGATGCCACCATGATACCAAAGCCAAAGACACATACGAAAATAACTGACCAATATATAAAAAGGATGAAAAAAAATTTCAACAAAATACTTTCAAGCCAAATTCAACTGCACGCTTTTAAAAGGCTCAAAAACCCACTTCAACTAGGGTTTTACTGAATGCAAGGATAATTCAGCATACAAAACTAGTCAACGTGATTAGCAGAATGAATGATACAAACCACAGAATCATCTACTCATTACTAGTAAAAACCTAGAAGTAAAAGCAAATTACTAGTGCTGGAGAGATAATGAGCACCACAAGGGGTTATTCCTGAACACATGCACATAGTATGGCCCCAAAACCAAAACCAAATTATTGGTGCAGAGAAATCGTACAGGGGTTAAAGAGTTTGCCTACATGCAGCCAACCAAGGTTCAATCCCTGGTTCAGTCTCTGTCACCATACGTAAGTTCCTGAGCACAAAGCCAGAAATAAGTCCTGAGCCTTGACAAGTGTGGGTCAAAAACAAAAACAAAGCAAAAGAATTACCTCAATATAATAGTTAACTCATGAAACATCCATAGCTTATAAGATAGCAGAGAAAAGTTCAATTTTAATTTTTTTCCCTCAAAATTCAGGATAGTCACTCTTACCATTTTCATACAAGTATGGAAACTAACAGGGAAATCTTCTGTAGTGTTGGTAGGAATATAAAACAGTGCACCTGCTATAAAAAACATAAGAAGGATCCTCAAAAAGTTAAAAAAAAATAAAACTCATATGATCCAGCAGTCCCACTTTGGGGAATATTTACAAAAGAACTAAAACAATCTAAAAAATACTTGCAGGGGGCTATCCCCAGGATCCTATATGATCCCCTGAACACCTCCAGCAGAGATTCCTGAGTGCACATCCAGGATTAACCTCAGAGCATCACTGTGTGTGGCTCAAAACCAACGATCAACTTATAAGGGTGAGAGAGATATTGCAATGGGTAGAGTGATTGCCTTGCACACAGCCAACCTGGGTTTGATCCCCAGCACCATATATATCCCCCTAACCCCACCAGGAGTGATCCCTGAGTTCAGAACCACGAACAGGTCCTGAGAACAGCTAGGTGTGCCTCAAAAACAAAAAACAACGTACAGGGTATAGAGAAATAGCAGAGTGGGTAGAGTGGTTGTCTTGCATGTGGCCAACCTGAGTTTGATTCCTGGCACCACATATGATCCTCCAAACCCTGCTAGGTGAGATCCCTGAGTACAGAGGCAAATGAAAGCCCTGAGCAAAGCTAGGTGTGCCTCCCCCCAAATTACGTATTTGTATTCCCATTTCTAGTACACTATTAACTAGCCAAGAGTGGAATTAACCTAAATGTCCACTAAAAGTGAATGGAAACAGAAAACATATTCTTTGTACCAATTAGTGATGCTTTAGTCAGTAAGGAAATCAAACACATGATGGTGGTCCCCCAAAGACTATACCTGTATAGCCTCAATGTGCACCTAGTAATACAATTCAGATTGGTAAATATACTCAGCAAAGTTAGCACTACAAAAATCACCTTATGAGATGTTTCTTAGAAGATACCTCCATCTAGTGGCATGGCTGTATGTGTACAAATACTATTCAGAGCTTAAGAATAAAGTTCAATATCATAACAAGGCTGAATTTGATGGTATTAATGGCAAATGAAACTAGCCAGCTAAAGAGGGATAAATACTTCATGGTTCCGTTTAAATAAAGTATCTAGTGTAGTCAAACTCAAAGAAGCAGTAAGGAGAAAGTGCAGACTTTAGCTACTGTGAAATAGGTATAGAGACACAGTCGTGAAAGATGAAAAGGTTCTACAGACCTGCTATAAAACATGTAACTATTAATATTGTACTACAAATAATTGTTAATAGAGCAAATCTTATGTATTTTGCACAAAAACAGTGCGAAAGGAGTCATGGAGACTACGGATGTGAGCACATACTCTGCATGTCTGACACCCTGAATTCAATCCCAGCATAAGGCCTCCTGAATACCACTGGGTACAGCCCTACTGAGTCTGAACCACCACTACATCACTGGACTTAACCAACTACCAGGGCCACATTGCCAGGCCAAATATTCTAAGTGAAACTGGGAGCACCACAAAAAAATAAAATTAAAAGGGAGACAAGGTCTAGAGAGACAGTGCAGTGGTTAAGGTGCTTGCCTTACACATATTCAACCCAGATCAACTGCCAGCATCACATATGGTCTCCAGGGCATGACCAGGAATGATCCCTGATGATCCCTGAGTGCAGAGTCAGGAATAAGTCCTGAGTACTGTCAGGTATGGCCCCTAAACCAGAAATAAATAAATAGGGGGAAAGGGGGTGTGGAAGAAGTTCTATGGACATGATATTCATAACATGCCGATCACTAGATCAGTATTTCCATGTGTAAGTGAACCTGGTATTAACACATGGGTTTAAAGTTGCAAAGTTTACTATTACACAGAATTTTTGGTAAGTATATGTAAATTTATGATACTGGTTACAAAATACAGATCTGTCCATGTATTTTCTCTTCCTTTTTGTATTCTTAGCATTTTCTTTTCTCTAATTTATTGTAAGAACATAGTACAAAATACATCTTAAAATGTCATTCAGAACTTATTCCTATATTAAGTTTCTCCCCACATGGAGATCTTATTTTCTTTCTCTTCTGCTTTTCCATAAACTTTTCTACTTTCCAATTCTAAAGAAAAAAACTTTTTTTCAACTGTTTTTGCTATCAGTAAGGCTCCTGGTCAATAGCAGGCCGTTAGTTAAATTTTAGGGGAGCCAAAAGTCATATAAAAATTTTTATTAAGTGTAGGGGATAAAGAGTGGAAGGCTAATGTCCTTTATAACCCATAGTTCAAAGGTCAACTGTATACACAACATTTTAGATTTATCTTTATGAACTGAATGGACATCAAACTCCCTAGTATGGTTTTTAAAATGTACTTTTTTTTTTTAATCAAAACAACATTTAATCACCTTAACTTCTGATGTCTTATGAGTTTCTAAACTTATACGGCCTTAGAAAGTTCATTTGCAAATTACTTTAGTACCTTGAGATGCAAATAACCTGGAAAAGCAGATATGAAAGTAAAGACAGTGGTATGATAATTATTTTCTTACTTGCTAGTTATCTCAATCTCTCTCTAATCAATACTGTTTCTATCCTTTCCAAATCAATTGTCTATTCTCTTACAGAAAATATTCTAAAACAATGGTTTTCAATTACCAGTCCACAGATTGGAGCTGGACCAAAGGCATAAAAATGCTGGGTGAAAAAAAAAAAAATCACAGTTCCAATACAAAAGCTGCTGGCAATTCTTTCTCTATTTGATCACTTTACACCTAACAGCAAGTATAAGCTTTTAACAATATAATAATCAAATTCACGGTAATTCATATAAAATTTAAGAATAAAGCTACTAAAATTTTAATTTTACTGCTTACTTTTAAATAGGCAGCTGCTTCTTGGACAGAAAGGGTTCTCTGACTAGAGCTTCCACATTCATGATCTCCTGTAAAGATTAGCACAGAATGAATTTTAAGTAAGTACTAATTAAAAAATAAATGACTATAAAATGTTACAAATTACACAATTATTGGTCATATTACAATCAGTAAAAATGAATACTTTTGTATTTTCTAGAAAAAAGTTCTAGCACATCATATGAACAATTATCTTTATATAACTCAACATTTCAATGCATTTATATAGATAGGGGATATCTTATATTTCCAACTAAACTGTTAGCCAAGGTAGAAATCATGTCACACTGATAATCTATCCATTTACCCTGGCACAGAAAAGGGTCTCCACAGACATGTATTATATTTCAAGAGAGAAAACACTTTGTGCTAATGCCATTTCTAATGCTAATAACTCAAAGTTTCAAATGAATTTAAGTTTATTGTTGAATTAGAACATACATTTTCAAAGCACAACTAAAAGTCTATCTTTAGTAACAGGTATTCATGGCTTAAAAATGTAACACAGATCAACATGGAAATAGGAGCTTCTGGCTAGGATCTGATTTCTATAAAGAGATTCTATTACATATATAATTAGAAACTACATTTTCCTTTTCTTGTAATTCATTTATAAAAGAATCCAAAGCATTTTCTTTCAAATACCTTTCGACTGAACTTCAACTGTGAGGTTTTCCTGCACTGTTCCTTTCAGATTCTTAAAAAAACTTTTAGGGGCTGGAAAGACGGCAACGTGAATAAGATGCTTGCCTCATACACAGCTGACCCAGGTTCAATCCCTGAGCAAGCATCGTTAGGAATAAAACCAGAGCACAGTGCCAGAAGTCAGCCCTGATCACAAATGGGTGTGACCCCAAAACAAAAGAGGAAAAAAATTAAGAACCATTTTCTTATTTATCATTTCTGTCCTGGTAATAACATTTTAATGGTTGTAGTTGTAAAAGGGAAAGAAATGTCTATTAAATGAAGTTTCTAAGCTTTATAATGTATCATCAGGGATTCAGATTCTGTAGCTCTTCAGCAGACACTGGCAAATTACAACCACAAATTATAGAATAAATTTGGTTTATGACTAGTTTTTATAAATGAGGTTTTAATGGAATGCACCCATGCTCATTCATCTATGCATTCTCTATGGCTGCTTTTCATGCTGTAACAGCAGAACTGAGTGAGTAACAGTGACAGAGACCGTCTAGCCCGCAAAGGCTGAAACATTTACTAGCTGGCCCCTCCACAGAACAAAAGTTTGCCAACTATAGAGGAAGGAATCTGTATCTTTGAAAGCACCCCAGATATTGCTGACCTAGCACACTTCAGAGAACAATGCTATAAGAGACAGCTGTATAAGCATGTGATAGGAATATCAGGAATTCCTAGCTAGAGTATGTACTTACCTATTTCTGGGCACTACAGCATACTACATGACATGAGCTTGCAGCTATGAATACAACAGCGTGTCAGTCATTACAAAGGCTTTTAGAGATATACTGAGAATTATGGGCTGGAGCAATAGCACAGCGGGTAAGGCGTTTGCCTTGCATGCGGCTGACCCACGTTCGATTCCTCTGCCCTTCTCAGAGAGCCCGGCAAGCTATTGAGAGTATCCGGACTACAGGGCAAAGTCTGGCAAGCTCCCCGTGATGTACTCAATATGCCAAAAACAGTAACAACAAGTCTCACAATTTCTTGTGAGAAGTTACTGGTGCCCGCTTGAGCAAACTGATGAACAACGGGAGGACAGTGCTACACTGCAGTGCTACTGGTAATTTTGAGCCTCAAAGCTGACCTGAATTAAGTACTCAAGATGGGGGAGGAGGGAAACCCAGAGATTTACAACACAATGGACAATCTTTAAGTGCTAAATGCTAAAAATTTGCCAATACAATATATGGAGAAATATTCCAAAAAATAAAAATCTAATTTGACTGATGTTATATACTACCTATGTAACTTAATTTTTTAAAAGTATTTTACAAACTACAAATATTAAAAAAATACCTGCAAGTTGTGCCAATCGATCATGAAGCTTGTATAAAGTGTTCATCATAAGATTTTTTTCACTTTCCTAAAATTAAAAGAAAGCATTAGAAAATAATTCCAAGTAAAAAAAATATACCAAATAACTTTATTCAAAAAGAAAAGAAACTTATTTAAAATCATAAAAGCTACATAACTTGAAAAGGGAATTCAAATTTAAATAATGTTCAAAGAAACATTAAGAACTAAATCATCATCTAAGTATTTTACTTTCTTTAGGCTAATCAAATTCCCACTAACATTAGTGCTATAAAAGGTGTCAGATCCAATATATTTCCCCAACCACTAAAGCAGTACTTCCAGTCCCTTTCTGTATATTACAGCCTGTGTCCTATGACTGCTCTTATAAGTGTTTTAAAGGCGCCCCTCATGGTTTGTTTTCATCTGATTCAACTACATAATAATAAGGAAATGAATATTGATAATTTGACCTGAAACTTCTCCTAGGTTTCCAAAGCAGATCTCCATAAACTTAGGAAACTCTGAGGTGAAATAAACATCTTAATGAGAATCTACTCTGAATTAGGAACTGCTTCCAGCAAAGTAACAGACCCACTGGACTGGATGTCTCCTCCTCTATGCACAAAAAGCATCTAGCTATATTACAATTTCAAGGTATATGTAAATACAGACGAAAATGACTTCTTTACATAAATGATTTATGTTAGCGAATATTTGTGCTGAAGCTTCAAAGGAAAAACAGCGGAAAACTAGGTCCTGGCAGAAAGAACATGAACAAAACTACAAAGATATATATATATAAAGCATGGAATTTACTTCCTTTACTTTAGATCGCTACCCAGCGATCTACTTTGAACCAGCAGAATTTTAGAAAGTTAGTTTGAAATCACTTATTAGAGGGCCCCAGATACCAACACAAAGAAAGAATGTGACTTCACTCTAAAACAGGAGGAACAAAGTCTGACCAATTGATAGGAGACTAGAAAAAAGATTATTTCAATGGTCCGAGCATGTTGCCAAAAGTCTAAATCAATGAAACTCTAACTGAAAGCAATCATAACTGGGTAAAAGGTAAAGGTAAAGGCCCTCCCGTTGATCGTCGATTTGCTCGAGCGGGCCCAGTAACGTCTCCATTGGAGACTTTTTGTTGTTACTGTGTCTGGCATATCGAATACTCTCGGTAGCTTGCCGGGCTCTCCGAGAGGGGCGGAGGAATCGAACTCGGGTCGGCCATGTTGGCCGCGTGCAAGGCAGACGCCCTACCCGCTGTGCTATCGCTCCAGCCCAAGGTAAAGGTAAAGGCCCTCCCGTTGATCGTCGATTTGCTCGAGTGGGCCCAGTAACGTCTCCATTGGAGACTTTGTTGTTACTGTGTCTGGCATATCGAATACTCTCGGTAGCTTGCCGGGCTCTCCGAGAGGGGCGGAGGAATCGAACTCGGGTCGGCCATGTTGGCCGCTTGTAAGGCAAACGCCCTACCCGCTATGCTATCGCTCCAGCCCATCATAACTGGGATGAACCAATAAAAGCAGTTGGGAGGGTAGGTTAGGAGAGAGGGCAATAATATCACATTATTAAAATTAAATTTCATGAGTCATTGGAAGGCTGTCTTTATGACTTCCTATCCTCTTGAAATTTCTAAGACTACTGGATGAATAAGACACATTTAGACAGGATATGAGAGACTAGGTACAATAAAAAAACAAATGCATTTCTAGTCCCAATGACATGCAGTCTAACCCATTTGTTTTCATTCTCTATATTCAAAGACAGAAGAGACAAGTTTGCATTGAAATGACATGATTTTGTCAATGCAGCTTTAACCAAAAGCACTAGAAAAAGGAAACCTCAAAGGGTCTTGAATTCTACCACTAGAGTCTGGTTTTATATGAGATGGTTGACAGAGAAAAGTGACATTTCCTCAGTGGATAACTTACCTGCTTTCTAAACTTTCTGATGGGGGATTGGTCCATACCCAGCAGTGCTCAGGGCTTATACTCTTAGCTCTGTGCTCAAGAAGCATTCCTGGTGGTGCTTGGGGAGTGAGGTGGTGGTGGGCATATATAGTACTGGGGATTAAGCCAGGTAGGCCATAGGAAAGCATGTGCCTTGCTCCATCTACTACTTCTCTAATCCCCTTTTTTTAGTGTTTTCCTTCCATCAACTCTGTCAACCAGACTAAATCAAGCCAGTCTTTATGTGTAAGATTAAAATTCCAAAAGTCAGACATGAAAAATAACTACAAAGAAGAAGATTCAAGTCTTTGAAACCAAAACATTTCTGATATATCAAACCAACAACTTTATTAAGTCTCAACATAACAGGATGAAAGACAATTACCATGCTATACGAACTTGCAAATTTCATATGTAAAGCTGACTTAAGTCTGATGAAATTTTGGGATTCAAGTAGCTGACAATTTTGATGTGTTTCCTTTATTTATCTGGAAAAAGAGACTTCCCTTTAGTTTTATCTATCTTAACCATGCCTATGGCCATTCCCCTTTAAAAGCAAACAAAAAAAAAAACCTAAAAGGGGCCAGAGAGATAGTACAGTAGGTTAGGTTGGGTGCTTGATTTGTATATAGCCGACCGTGGTACGACCCCCAGTATCCATATAGCCCCCTGAGCACCACCAGGAGTGGTCTCTTGAGTGTGGAGCCAGGAGGAAGCCCTGAGTAGTGCTGGGTGTGTCCCCCAATTCCTGCCCCCCAAAAAAAGAAAAAAGAAAAGGAAATTAAGTCCAAATATTTGAAATCTGTCTCTAGTTACATCTTTAATGTACATCAGAAACTTGTAGCTAAACATTTCTTGATTCACAGACACTAACACTGAGCTAGATAAGGAGAATAAAACCTAATCAGATGCAATGATTTCATATTGGATAGAATACATATGTCTCTACTTATATGTATTACTATACTCTCATAGAAACTATGCACTCCAAAAACGCAACTACATTTATTGTCAAGTCTTATTTTTCCAGTGACAAGCTACTCAAAAAGACCATTTATATATTCACAACACTCAATTATATTGAAATGATCAATTATTATCTATGTAGTTTTTATGACAAATAATATTAGCAAACCAACTTTTAGAAAGAAATAGATTAAGACTTGGTTACATTTTCTTCAGTACCAATACACTAGTAGTAGCAAATCTGAGAAGCACACATTTTAAAAGTTATTCTCTGACTGACTGACTTACAGGTTCAGTCTTCTTCCAATCTACTTTTCAGTTATTTTCTAATTGCATTTGTTTGAAATGCATCTATTGGCACTCCTAACTCTGGAACAAAGGTACAAATGAACCCAATTCAAAGTATGTTTTCAAGTAAACTTTTGTTAAAAATAATTGAAAAACTTAAAATAGTTTCTTCCTAAGTATCTCATTTTAAAATGTCAAGATTTTCTTTTAGGAAAATTTAATAGGGCGGAAGTGTGGGGGAGACTCTAGGATAACTGTTCTATCCTTAATTTTCTCTTCAAGAGTATTTCAACTGTTTTAGTCAATTCTCTGACTGTCACTGTCACTGTCCTTCCGTTGCTCATTGATTTGCTTGAGCGGGCCCAGTAACATCTCCACTGTGACACTTGTTACTGTGTTTGGCATATCGAATATGTCACGGTAGCTTGCCAGGCTTTGCCGTGCGGGCAAGATACTCTCGGTAGCTTGCCGGGCTCTCCGAGAGGGGCAGAGGAATCGAACCTGGGTGGGTCAGGTCAGCCGCATGCAAGACAAATGCCCTACCCTCTGTGCTATCGCTCCAGCCCTAAATGATAATAATTGATAAATTCAGCATGGTGACTGACAAAGATCTTAATATAAGTAAATCACCATTACTTTATAATTATTATTAAAAAATTCAGAATATCAGTTTCTTTCCTGGGGAAAATTATAAAGTTTTTTATTTCCAATGCTCAGTGAGTACACTGCAAAATTCAAATTATGTTGCTAGTCAGCAGCAATGCATACAGAATAATTTATAGTCAACTTTTTCAAAACAAATGTATCCACAAATCTAACAACCAATTGCACACTATAAGCTCAATACCGTAATCTTTAAGTGTCTATGATACTAAGTGAAAAGTATTTTCATGAACAAAATTTAGGCTGAAATTACTATGATAATATCCCTTTGAAAGAAAAGTGAGGATCATATAAAGGCACTCTTAAGGAATAGGTTTCTTTTCAAATTTGCCTTCTGATGGCTGAATAGACATGCATATAAACAAAAAAGGATCCAGAGAGACAACATAAGGTTGAAGAGGAAAAAAACGTGTATGTTACTGAACAACTTAAAACAACAGCCACAATTTTTAAGGGTAAAATCAGATTCACATGACATGTCACTGCCATTTTGACAACTTGGCATGAACATTAAAGTGATTAAACATTAAAGTTCAGCACTTAGTAGAAATTTATGCCAGATTTAAATGTGCAATAGGCAAAAGTACTGAAAATAAGAAAATGCGTTGCTTTAGCCCAAAAAAAAAAAATCTTTAAAATTACTATTCCTTAACTAAGTCATCCTACAATTTTATCATTAAAAAATATCAGGCAAAATATTAGGATCTTTTACTTACTTGTATTTTTCCAAATGTTTCATCAAAGGGATTTTTTACTATCAAGGAAAGAAAGAGAGAAAACTATTAGCATCATTTAAGAATGAGAATTAGAATTCCCTTAAACGAGCAGTATGCCAAAACTGAATGCAAACATACAAACAAAATGAAAACAAACTGATAACAAGTTAGAGAAATAACTTTAGAGGTTTACTATATTTAGCATTCTCACTCTGAATTTGAGTTCTTTCATAAAAATAAACAGCAGGTACTTAATCTAGTTTTATAAATGACCCCATAAGGCATTATGTAACTTTTAATAAATTTGTTTAATTTTTAAAAAATTTACCAATAAATGTCTGATTTGTATACCCATTTAATACACCTACAAGGACTGGGTCTCATAACAATTCTCAAGCAACAGGGTCACAAATATTTCTGAAAAGTTTAAAAAGCCCTATACTTAGTCACTCTAAAGCTGTCATTTCCTCTTCTTTAAAGGATATCACAATTATAATCTACCTTATATAGTAGTGAACATTAGATGAGAAGAAATCTTATAAAAAATGTTCAACATAGTATCAAATACTTAACATGTTATCTATTAACTACTTAAGGAATCTTACAAGATGTTTAGAATTCTAACTTCAATAATACTGCTTATTCTTGCCAATAGTAAAATGATAAGAAACAATTATACAGATCAAATAAAACAATAATATCGAAGTTCAAAAAATATAACAAGGAAAGGATTTACCATATTTATTCAATCTTATTTAGCCCAGCCACATGGCTGGATATGTAGCACCTTTCATGTTTAATATATAGAATTTTTAATTATCTTTTTAAATCACATTAAAAGTTTTTATATACCTGAATCTATATTCAAGTCACAACTGAGACTGAGCCTACAAGCAGTTCACACTGACCAGGTTTCCTTTCTGAGATGCTTTTTCTATTTTTATTTAAGAAAACAGGAAGTCCCATAGGAACCAGGAACTGCTTGATTCTAAGAAAGTTCATGTGTGGGACCACTACAACCAGGGTATAATAAAAAAGCAAGGGAAAAGAATGTTTGCTGCTATCATCTAAGGGAGTGTTCCCAAAGTGGATGATACTACCTACACAGTGGACACTGAAATGGGGAAGGGGGCGGTGTTGGAGCCAGGGAAGAAACTCATTGTAGTAGCCTTGGATGGAATTTGGGAGCTTAGTGGTTTCTATCTATTCACTTAAAGCTAGATTTTTAGGGGGGGCATTGAGTGATTTTTTTTTTTCTAAAAAGAGTTTGGTAGGCAAAATAAATTTTGTAACCTGTAATCTAAAGGATTTTTATGAATGAATTTTCAGACACTTTTTAATAAGAGCAACAGGTTTTAATGGTAGGAAAGGAAAAAAAATTAAAGATCAAAGTAGTTAAGGGAGTCGGGGTGATAGCTCAGGGGACAGAGACACACATTCCTGCACACACAAAGATGCAGGTTCTATCCCCACAACCAAATGGTCCCCTAAGCATCGCAAGCATCGCTAGGTATAGTCCTGGAGGAAGCTAAGCACTTCACTGGGGTAGCCCTGGTAGCCCACAGTACCACTAGGCCCAAGCAGAACAGCAGTGCTAGGCCCTAGTACTGAAACATTTAGTCTGGTCTGTTGAGTATCACTGGGAGTGACCCCCTAAGTTCTTTGTGCACCGCTTTGGCATGCCCTAAGAAAGCAATAAAAGAAGGAATAATAGGAAGAAATAATATACTTAAAAGATCAAATAAAATCAGAACATGCCGAACGAAAAAGATAATCTTAACACATATTAAAGTAGTAATTATATAATGGGCTGGAGCAATAGCACAGCGGGTAGGGCGTTCGCCTTACAAGCGGCCAACATGGCCGACCCGAGTTCGATTCCTCCGCCCCTCTCGGAGAGCCCGGCAAGCTACCGAGAGTATTCGATATGCCAGACACAGTAACAACAAAGTCTCCAATGGAGACGTTACTGGGCCCGCTCGAGCAAATCGACGATCAACGGGAGGGCCTTTACCTTTACCTTATTTTTAATATAGCTATATTATTTTTAATATAGCTATATTTAATTATGTATCCTACAAAAAAATGAATATTGAGGCAGAGAGATAGTACAGGGGTAACGCACACGCACCTGATCTGATTCAATTCCTAGTGCCACATGGAGATACGCAGGGCTTGGTCTTAGAGGGTCCTAGCACTTCCAGAATGGCCTGGGTAATCCCAAGTACCCCATCGCCCTCATATCAGCACATCTTTGAACCCTCACACTGAATCATTAAGCTGGGAATCACATCCCCCAGCACTGCTGGAGGCCCCATGCCCTCCACTCACACGCACAAGAATGCTTATTGGCCAGGAGAGATAACGCAGGGGTTAAGGTTCATGCCCTGCATGTGGCTTACTGAGGTTCTATCCCTGGCATCCACATAGGGACCCATAAGCACTGTCAGGAGTAAATGCTTAAAACTGTCAGGTGTCACCCAAAATCAATACAAAAAAATGATGTCATTTTTTATTAATATTATCCAGTGGCTGGAGCGATAGCACAGCGGTAGGGCATTTGCCTTGCACGCAGCCAACATGGCCGACCCGAGTTCGATTCCTCCGCCCCTCTCGGAGAGCTCGGCAAGCTACCGAGAGTATCTCACCCGCACGGCAGAGCCTGGCAAGCTCCCCGTGACGTATTCGATATGCCAAACACAGTATCAACAAAGTCTCCAATGGAGACGTTACTGGGCTCGCTCGAGCAAATCGATGAACAATGGGAGGGACTTTACCTTTATTATCCAGTGGAAAACATGCCTGTCCTAGATATGTTCTCCCACAAGACTGTTCTATGAATTTCTAATGACAAGGAACATGTATAGTAATCCATGTTTGTATGCAAGGAGCCATAGTATTGGTGCTTAAAAAGTGCTGGCTGTGCTGTGTAGGATAAATCCACTCTTATTATTATAGTCTATGTTAATCTAGAAAAGAAAGTGTTAAATTCTGCAGGAAGCTGCAGGAGAAGGGTAAGTTCTGAGGAACTGGGAGGGAAAGGGACAGAATAACAAAGAGAAAGCCAGAGAGCAGAACAATACTTCTGTTGAAAAACACTGAGCTGCTCTTGGTATCTTTCTAGACTTCTCTCTTGTCTACTGGGCTAAAAGATACTCAAGAGTGTAACAAATCTAGTAAGTCAACAAGGAAACTTTTCTATGAACCTTCTGATAAAAACATTTTTCCCCAACTGCCGATAACTGTCACCTACTACAGTAACAAACAGATTGAGTATATTAACAACAAAAGTAAAATTCAGTCTCAAGGTTGAGTTTTACAAAGAAAATCCCATTTTAAAACAATTTTAACAAACTAAAAGCCATCAAATTTTGGAAAGAATCTTTGATGCCCAGTTCTTCTCTTCCCTCCAATCATCAGTACTTAAGATAGTATGTCTCATCTAACATGATCTATAATCTTTAATGTAAACAACATATTGATACTCCAAGTGAAAATATTCCTACCATTCCCCACCAATAAGGTAATTGTAGACAAGACACAAATATTCAAAAAGTATTCCAAAGCAAAAAATTGAGGTCTCATTTATTAATAAGCCTCTTTTGTAGGGATGGAACTAGAATAAATTTATAGTTCTTATCTCTTATCCTAAACAATGTCAAGTTGGTATTTACGCTATTTCAGACTGAGTTTTATCCTCTTTTATGTCCTGTATCCCCAATAGTTTCTCTTAACAACTTTTTCTCAAATTCTCCTAATTTAGTCACTTATTTACCCTTCACTATGCATATGGCTTACAGAGATTAAAAGCTTCAAATATTTCAAACTTTGTAAGTGTCCACATTTTCACTGTCCTTCTCTTTACACTATACTAAGGACTATAGAAATCAAATTCCTAGAAACATTTCATCATACTACAGAATCTTCAAAACTATTCAATGACTTCTGACCAGTTTGCTTCAAGAAACTACTTTTAATTTGTGATACATTCCTACTTCGACTTGCTCTTTCCCATCAATTCTAAAACTGCTACTAGTTCTACAGATTTTTCTTGTCAAGTGCAAACATTTTTTAAAATCCTTTTATTCTGAAATAAAATTTATCAAGATACTAATTTTCTGTCACTGTCACCCCATTGTTCATTGATTTGCTCAAGCGGGCACCAGTAACGTCTCACAATTCTTGTTACTGTTTTTGGCATATCGAGTGCATCACGGGAAGCTTGCCAGGCTTTGCCACACAGGCGAGATACTCTGGGTAGCTTGCCGGGCTCTCCTAGAGGGGTGGAAGAATCAAACCTGGCTCAGCAATGTGCAAATAGAGAAAAACATGAATACATTTCTAGGTTAATACTCCTCATAGTATACACTTAATGGCGACCAACTAATTGATATTCTCTTCAGAAATGCTTTGTTGTCACTCAATGGCAATAAAGAAAAGCCTGGGTAATAAAAGTTTTTTTTTTTTTTTTTACAACTAGGGCTAGGTGGAAATGTAACAAATATCTAGTAAGTACTTTGTACTGGGCAGTAAATTACATGGTAATGTGTTTTTACAAAATCCCGCCTTGAAAGCACTTACGAAAGTGTTAAAACAAGTTTTTCAAAAAATTAAAAATATACCATGTCAAATCATTCTAAACACTTTGGAAGTAGAACAGCAAAAATACCTGACATGTGAGAGAAGTAGGAGTAAACAAGATGATGAAAGAATGTCATATTAATATCTGAATATAATCCTGGGGGAACAGTAAGAGAAAAATCATGTGAATATCTAAAGGAAGAGATTTCTAGAAAGGAAAAGAATTATATGGTCTGCGGTATATTAATCTGGAGATGGAACAGAGTGGGTAAGAGAACAAGATTTAAGAAATGAGGTCAAGCTAGTAAGATTACTTAGAAGGTCAGCAGGTACAGAAAATGTGGGTTCTTTCAAACTTTTACACATAAGTTTGAAAATCGGGAGCTTATAGTATCTGGGGGAATAAGCAATGTGGGGTAGGCCATTAGAGTCTTAAGCGTCTAGAGGACAAGTAATT